ATATAAATTGAAAACAAAATGCAGAACGTTATAATTACATCCCAATATTATTGGTAAGTTAATTTGTCTCCCTTCTACACTTAAACCTTTATTCTGAGGAGCTTTGGCCAAAAATATTTATATTTAAAAATCATAAAGACAATAATTGCCTGGTAACCAATATATGGCATTTTTCTCTCTACGTTCGTATCTTTATTATGATTATTAAACACTTCCGATTAGATCCCAAACGTTTTTGTCAGCCGATTATGTTGAATTGTGTGGGGTTTTTAAAGAAATGTGCATTGTTAGAAAAGTACACTTTAAAAACGATATGGTTCTCATCGATTCTTGTTTGCTAAAGTTTTTAACCATAAAATCCAATCGTAATCGTTACCTACGTGAGTCACGATAGGAATATACATTTTTTAAGCTTGTTCCTAACTTCCGGTGAGCTCAAAACCGACGAACATTATAATCAAGCACTCCACATGATCTTGTGCACGTACTCTTATTCCCCAAGCTTCCATCCTAATTCAAGCAATGGGTCAATGTTATGCCAAAATCAACGCATGTTTTATGAAAATAAGACTAGGGCACCAAAACATTCATTAAATTAAATCAAATAAACCATTACAAGCCTAAGAAATATTTTACCATCACAGCTTAATATAGTACCCACAGATAAATACAATTTAGATAGTGTCTTAATAGTGAGTCTTGAGTTTTGACTGACCCAAATAACAAAGCTTTTCGGTTTACCTCCTTTACATTTCTTCGACACCTATTAAACACCTTTTTTGAGTCGATTCAACGACTTCTCATAATTGCCCCAAATTTAGATAAACTGTCTGTGCAAAATGTTTCGACCATGAGCTATATCAGAGATTTTTCGGGTGTATATCGCCATAAGAAACCTTGAGCTTAACAATCTTAACTGGAATAGTCGCAAATTGTGGGATTTTTGATTGCACCCATATCATATCGGTCTATTAACTGCTCACCCTTGACAAGCTGCTCAGGTTGAACATTGTTCTTAAGAAGTATTCGAGTGCGTCAAACAAAACAAAAATGTTAAATACCTACATTTTGATTATGTTGATAGTATTAGCTGATTGCAAAAAAATTGGTAAATCCTAAAAGGTAATGGTAAATGGTAAATCCTAAATCTTTGAAGCACTAGAGGTTCTATGTATTTCTGAAGATTGACTTTTTAAGGAGCACTTGAGGTTCTCTGAATCTCTAAAGAGGAACTTTGTTATGATTTGCGGTACCAAAATAAAAGAGAAGAAATTAAGGATACGCCCAGTCCTATCACTCCGCTGAAAGCTATTAGCTAAAGTGTCCTCCAATTCGGTCCCATTTATTTCCACGACCTTTTTTCTGGACGTGACGATTCCAAAGCAATTAGCTCAGAGTCGACTGAACCACGTGCTCCCCACAGACATATAGACATGTAAATATCCAGTGGTATATAGCGATCCATATGGCCGGCAATTAGACGGGCGGGTTCGGGATTGGGATTGGGTCCGATGAATTCCTCTTACTACGTGTGCATTCCATAAACTGGCGTTTGTTAAAGTCGCGCGATTTAGGCGAGACACATTTCCCTTTCTGCAGTGTGTGTCTACTTTGAATTTAACCATTTCGTAATTATATATTTTTATTTACCCATTTTTAATTTTCTCCGTTTATTTTTTTGGACCTACTGTATTTTGTTTTGGCACAATTTGCTCATTTAATTGGTTTTGTTCGCCTGCCCCGATGTGCTCCTTATGATTTGCGAACGTGCCAGGTCACGTAGGGCTAGTCAAGATGTTTCCAGTTTGTCACGCAGCGTTGACAATTTGGCGATACCCGTGCGCAGGTAAGTTGCAACTAACGATCCCATAGAAACACCCACCCCACACACACACTCACACCCGCACACACACCCACACGAACACCCATCCACACAAATGCAAATGAGCCAGAGCCACATCAAGTGCATATGTATATGGAAAAAGCCTTTAACTGCACCCGCATGACATATTTATCCAGCTGCCCCTTTGTGATCTGAATCTATGTATCGCCGTTGAATGTTGCATGGCCAGACTGTATTTAACTCACCTGCATGCTCATATTTATAAAATTATTATTATAACATTAATGATATATTTGACTTTCAGCGAATTGTGACCATAACCCAAAGCCAATTTAGCAATTTATGAACTTTCGAGCAAGCCAATCGATTGCAACAATAAATCGTTTTTGCGGTCTGTATATAAGTTGAGCAAAACTCTAAATCGAAAACGGCAGGCAGCAAATATTGATAATTTATAAAACCAGCGTGCCGGTGTTCAAATTACACTCGCTCTCAGATTATTTATAGATAATCTTAATGTTCGCTGTCGTCTTATTAACGATTTTTGATAATTTATAAGTCGCGTATAAGTATAAATAAATAGCTGATTTTTAATTGATGTTGACAGATAAAATCCGCGGGTTCCAAACGTTTGAAGGGTGAGAGATAGGAGAGCAATAACAAAAATAGATTCTTAAACTTAAGAAATGTTTAGATGTGATGAGAATATGAAGAACCTACCCCAAGAAAAGACCACAACCTATAATGAGTCACGCGGAAGACATCAACATTGAGTAAAAGCAATTTATAATCAATTTCACAACTGCAATAATCGCCAATAATTCATGTTATTGTGCCTCGCACATTACGTATACGTAGTAAAACTGAGTCATTGGCTAAGTTCAACTTGGACTGTCTACTGTCTACGATTCGATCCGCGGACACAATAAATAAAAAGCACTCTAGTGCTGCAGGTAACACCCCGTGGGTTGTTGACATTTGGCTGGGTGGAATTGTGCCAGTAAAACGACTACCGCCGTTTTCGGTGTTGTGTTCATGCCACTGATCGCAGCCCAGGGCCAAATTCTCGAAGGTAAACAATGCACAAGAGCGATAAGATATATAGACCTGCCTAGTGTTGATCGAGCCCTGAATGACTTGTGCTTCAATGGGTTTATTCAATAGCCACTGGCTCTTTATGACACGCCGCATTCCTGCTATTTTCTGTGATTTTCGTAATAATGCACTCACTTTATATTCGAGTTTGTGGGAAATAAAGAGAAAAAATGGGAATTGCTTGAAGGCACCTGTATGTTATTTTGCTTTTTTATTAAGTGTATCCAACTAGTTTATGCGGAAGCGTGTCTGTTAGACATTTTACAACTCGATGCCGATTTGCAACAGTAATTAGTGCAGGTACTTTCAAAGAATTGTTCAGTGACTCAACATGCATTCGCAGAAAAGACATCTTAATCAATATCACTTTTCACGTTTAAAACCTTTAGGCTGCAGTCTAGACTGAGTTACTACTCATTTGCATTGACTATCGTCAAATCCCTCTGCCCAAAGTGTCTATATATGTATAATATATTATGTGAATGCGAGACTGCGAATATTTGGCACGCCTTGCTCTTGCTGACCTCCTCGCCAGCCAAAGAAAAAATGCGAAAAATAAATTCAGCCTCTGAAAATAATATTTATGTCATTTACAATTATTCATGTTTACTTGCCGAACAAAAGCGAAATACTTTTCCATATTAACGCGAAAACCAACTGTGCAAATGAGATTCCATTGGCTAGGTCGCTGCTTGAACTCAATTTAATTTAAATATTTAAAAAATAACTCGAGACGTCGTCAAATGTAGCCAACTTAAATTCAAACACAGTTGTTTCGCCCAGAAGCTGTTTTCGCAAAGGTTTTTCACTCCAATAGGCCTATCCTTATTTATAGAGAGTGGGTTTACCTGTTTGGTTTCCGAAGGGTTTTTTCAGCTGCGCAGCCATTCCAAGACTTTCCGTGGAAAATTCTCGTTGGCGAAAGGCGGTAGATGCGGGCAGGAGATAAAAATGGGGAAAACAAATATCGAATGGCGACAAATATGCGTTAAATACTTATTTAGTATTTGCTTTTCATTGTTTATCTTCGAACAAAAGCACTTTGCATGCGCCTGCTGCCGCCAGCTGAAAACTTCAGGCGAACAATTATTTTGCCCGCACACATATTTATGTATATTTTGTTTTTATCATTGATATTCAATTATGGTTATCGCCGTTTGCCCGCTAATTGGCAACGCGGTGAAAAGACACGCGCAAATAAAATTTTATTATTTTCATGGGAGGGAGGGGACACTTGATCGGCAGAATAAAGCCTCAATATATTCCTATAAATATTTTCCCCTTCGTCAGTTCGTGCATGTAGTTGTCATTCACTTTGTTGTGATTCACTTTGGTACGACTATCTTGACGGAGGAAAACTTATTTTCCCGCTCAAAATGGGAACGGAAATTAGTTTTGCCAATCAAAAGGGGACCGCAATAATAGGGAAAATATCACATACATAAGTACAACGGAAAAATAATTCAGGCAAATATGACAAAATAAGGAACATCTGAAGTAGGACTTTAATATGAAGTATTCTCAAAAAAAAGCACAAACAATTAATTTAAATAATAATAATAGGCTATTGCTTTCTTGAACTTAAACTATCTACGCTCTTAAAATAATTTTAAATATTTAAAGTAAATTGAAGGAATATATACTGGCAAGTCATTCTTAAAAACAAATAACAATAATTATATAACAGTTCGTTTGCAATTAAGCAGAGAAAAATGTGAACTTCAAAATCACAAAAATGTAATAATCTAAAAATAAAATAAAGATAAATATTGTTAAGCTCAGAGAGCGAGTGTGAGAATAAACACCATGTTTATCTATATAGGGACTAACTTAAACCATAAATCAAGGCGGCAGTGAGATAGTTCTTGCTTGAATCCAAGGGGTTTCGGGGAGGGAGCCCCGAATAAATAAGGTATTTCAATTATGGATCTAGGAAGCACACGCGCCTCCCAAAACGCCACGACACTTCAGCTCGACTTCGGACTGTGGCTATAAAAATGCCGAACCGAACAAAACAAGAAACGAAAAGGAAAATATATTTATGATTCTAAAACTAGCAATATACGACAAATGAATTTTAATTGAAATCGGAATGCCGCCAGACTCAGATTTGGAGGCGTTGTCGTTGAACAATCAAAGTAATCTCGTATTGAATTGGTATGCAATCGTCGACCCACGGAACGCGGATGGATGGCGATGACGCAGCAAAGAATCCTACAATGACGACGAATTAACCTGCGATGGAAGAGTGCCAAGTGAAGAAGGGGATATGCTTTTGGAGGAGATCCAACTTACTTCTGCATAGTCTGCGCTAAAGGGAGAACAGCCTGTCTGCTGTTGCTGTAAATGCAGCTGCTTGTAGATCTCTTGCCTCTCCACGGGCGACACCTGGCGGTAGGAATCCGCCGAGTAGTGGGACACCGCAATGCCCACGCCCTCGATCAAGGCCAACAGAATTCCACCCACCAGGGCACTGCTGAGCATCGAGGTTAATCCTGCGGAAGATAATTAGGAAAATACCTTTAAAATATAGCTACATATGTTATAAATGGTGTACATTTGCGAGGATTGATCTTTGCGTTTTTGGGTTAAAAACCCCGTGAACTTAGAAAAAAATCACTGTTGTACCAAAGGATTTAACATTTTAACACCCAATACATAGAAGCTGATTTGAAATTGGTTGGTATTACTATATATCTGAGATTAGATACATTATAAATATCACCGAGTTTAGCATCTTTGAATGGTCATAAAAGAAAGGCCAAATTAACTCAGATAAAAACCCAGGTCCTATGCAACTACACGTTTTATACGGATGTATACAGATATCCAAGTTCAGGCCCAAACACAACTATCTATGCATAAAGCCTTTAAAAGGATGAAAAAACTTACCCGTTCGAGCGGCCAGTATGCCCCCGGTGGCCGCTCCTCCAATTATCGCGTTCCACGGGTCCTCCTTCTTCCGGTAGTACACCAGAGTGCAATCGATGGCGCTGAAAGTAGCGCCCCACACCGCGAAGTTCCCGCCCACCAGGCCGGATCGGGCCCTTACCGCCGCAAGGCCGCCCCACAGGCGATGATTGAGGCCGGAGGGGGCGTTGCGGAAGCCCTTGATCGCCTGAAAGGCTCCTCCGCCCAGGGCACCCATGGTGAAGGCTCCGCCGCAGTCCTCGATGATGCGAAAGGGACATGGCTCCCGGCTGTACTCCTCCATATCAGTTGATTCTTAGAATTCGGCACAGTTCAGAGAGCAAATTAATCGGGTGAAATACGAGCAATAGGATGCAGGAAAGAGTGATATTTCGAGGCCTTCTTATGGCTGTATGTTTTCGATTATTAGGAAATTTTATTTTGAAAAACAATATTTTAAAACTAAAAATAAGTTCCAACAAAGTATTTTTCTATTTTGCTCTGTTTGAACATCTTACGATAACGGTAAAGATCCAATATGAGTTAATTTGTAAATTAAATGCCTATTATTAAATTGTATTATTTTCAAGTTTTAGTTAGGATTGTTTTATCAGCTAAAAGCAAGGGTTTCCGTCTCTTCTAAATTAATAAATATTCACATTAAATGTTTTCATTCTACTATGAATGGAGATACCACATGCATTATATTAATCTATCAAGCATCTTAAGGACAAGTTGCATGAAAAATCGTGACTTCTCTCCAATTATTTAAAGGCTAATCTAAAAAAACAAATCGAAAACCGTTTAAAAAAAAACCATTTAAAATGCGTCGTTTTACCTTATTTGGACACTCGCCGATTGTCTAGATAATCTTTACAAAACGATAGCAAAATACACAACAAAAAGGTTGAATAAAAAAGGCAACTGGCAGCCAATAAATAAATTGTTATTACCCGGTTATGGTCACAATTCGAGCTGGAAATTTGTAAGTGATAAGGATCGCAACAGATTGCACTCCGATCGCTACAAAGCCGAAATATTCCATTCACAATCGATTTTACAACCGTTCTGTGACTTTTTCCAGGAGCAAATCTCGCAGCGTGGATCACGGCCTTGCGGCTCCGTTTGACCTGGACTCACTCCGCTCGAAAGTCGAGCAGCGCTTTGAGAGCGTCGACAAACTATCAAGTGAGTATTGCAATTAATCAGCCTTCTAACCAACTAGTTATGAAGAAAACTTAACTCAGAGACTTTGCAAGTATATCCATTTGATTGGCAATCTCTTAAAATATGGGTAAAAAAAATATATAACTGTATGTTTTCATTTCGAATAATTTAGACTTACGGTTTTTCTTTTTATACTGGAAATTGTGGATTTAAAGTCAGTAATACCCTTCGGAAATATATATTTTTGGGTAGAAAAAAGTGAATCACAAATTAAAATTTTTAGTCATTTACCTTCTTCGGTATTACTTAACTAAAATTTAATTGATAATTTAGAAAAATACATTACCTATTATTAAATTTGGTACTGGGTAAACCAGCTGCGAAGATTATTTGAAAATACTTTTTCATCTTATTCAAAAATATAGTGCTGCCAGACCGTCAAACTGAACTTTAAGTTAGCGCTAGAGGACGCTCAACAGACCGTGTAGAAAAATTCAACTCTAGGTGTCGCTATTATTATTTACAGTGACGGAATGTAAATAACACTCTGGGCATAAAATTAAATTAAATTATTATTTGAAAAACATAATTTATTTCTTTTTTGAAATGCAGTTAGCAAATTAACAAAACAAAAACGGACACACAATTTTTTAAAACTTTTCTTGTTAAAATTTAATGTGTAAAATATAATATTTAATATGACTTGCCTCAAATAAGCAATAGCCAAAATTATTATAATGATTAAAAAATTATATCATCTCAATATATAAGGTAACGAAAATCTGGTTCTTCGAAGGTTAAACAAAAAACAGCCGTTCTTTTTTTTATAGAAAATAAATGAATTAGATAAGTAATAAAAGGGTTGAATTTAAACTATATTTGTGTGAATTTCTTATCATCGATTTCTAAATTGATTAGCAGGTTATCTGAGTGACTACAAACGGGGGTAACTGACGAACTTATTCTTATTAGTAAACTTGATAAAACCGTTGTTTAGCTTGAGTTTGTGTTTTTCCTTTGCCAGTCCCTTTGAATATTTCGCACTGTGCGGTTGCAGAATGTTAGTGTTTGAAAATGCGCGCCCAAGTTAGCAGCACATATTGTGACAACTTGACAGAAAAGATGAGCCATGAGGCATTTAGGCAGATAAATTTTAGTGTAAAGTTTGGTGCAAAATGCTGGAAGTGATTCAGATTTACTGGCATCTGCCGACGAACGAATTCTCGGTTATATACCTATGTCGACAGCAGGCTCCGTCCACAGGTGTGATTTACTCGCACCTGCGACCTGATGGCGATTTGTTTGAGGTCTTTGAGCAGCGTCCCTCCATCACAGCCATTCCGCCGAGTAACCAAACGCGACCACGTGCAACCAGTTAAAGTTATTAATTATCATTTCTTTTCGTTTCGCAGGGCAAAAGTCTTCATTGCCCACCATACCCACCATTTCCTACACCGTGGGCAATCGCGACACCCTGACCTCCGTGGCCGCCCGCTTCGACACCACGCCCTCCGAGCTGACCCACCTGAACCGGCTGAACAGCTCCTTCATCTACCCCGGCCAGCAGCTGCTGGTGCCGGACAAGAGTGCCAAGGACGACGCCTCCAGCAGCTCCACCCACGACGCCGACGGAGGCAGCCTGTCCGGCAAGTCGAGTCCGGTCGAGCGCAAGTTGTCCGGCGACGAGAGCCGCGAGAAAGGTAAGCCAACCCAGGCGAAACGCCGGCTCCGTGGAAATGGTGCAATTGGTGCGACGATAGTGAAGCATTTGCCATCATCGCCGCTTGAGATTTTAAGTTGCACGAGCTTTGTATGCCGCTGGGTCGAAAAACCCAACAAAAAAATCCCCAGTGGCACATATTTTGGAAATCATTTCATTTAAAATTTTTGATTTCATTTGAGAATTGTTAATTGCAAACACATTTCATTCTATTACCCACTTCTCCAAAAAGTATTTTAATATTCATGATATAATCTCGAGAATTTAATTTTCACAGAATCTTTTTAAAATATTTTAATAAATTATACATACATATATGCACAGTTTATAGTCTGTTGAACATGTTAGTAAATTATACTAATTTAAGAAACCAAAATTGTGTTAGAAATGGATTTTACCATTAAGAAAAGCTTAGAGAACGAAACCGAATTGCTTAATAGGAAAAAAATTGAAATTTTCTTCTAAATTTCTTTGTTTTAAAAATACCGCCAGACTATGTCAAGTTTTCACGAAATGTAAATAGTTTCGGGAATCCCCTTAATTTATTTGTAAACAATTGAAAGGTATTTTCTAGTATATATTTCCATGGACGGTATATTTAAGGGGCCGATCAACGGTCACACTGCTGACCAATGTTTTTCATTCAATAGAACGTGTTTTCCGCTGTTTTGCACTTAAAGAAGGCGATTAAATTCGAGCGGTCGAGTGCCGAAAGCCACGTAGAGGAGCGGCACAATCCAAGACGTAGAGTGCAGCGCGACGTACTCAAGATCTGCAATTTCAGCATGCACACAGCGGTCTTCTGGCGCAATGGAGGTTCTTGTTTGTTTTTCCTACCATTGTTGTCGCACCGATTTGTGAATAAGTGCTAATTGTTCGGGCTCACAAATTACTAATTACTGGCCTTGAAAGGCCGACGAACGGTCCAGGTTTTCCGGAAGCAAATGCTACCCACGGGTCACGTTTTCACGGCCCTATCCCCGGAAATCGTATCTCAGTTTCTAGTGATGAAGTATCTACATACATATCTAGTTGTATCTCCTCGCCGACTTAACCAGGAATCACAAAAGATTTTACCTACAATTTTTTAAAATATGTATTGTTTTTATTTATTTTTATAGTAAATGTAAACTTTAACAAACGCTAATCGTTATATTGCGTGATTAAATTCTATACATATTTTGAATATGATTTTATAAAGTGAATTTTATCTTTGAATTCTTAGAATTATAGTACAAAATGTTTAAATATTCTGAAATTAGAATAGTTTTATAAGAACTAATTAAAACAAAGGGGAAAAAAATGTTATTTGAAAAGCATTTTATATATTTGGTCTTTTTATTGGTCGAATATTTATTAAATTGCTTAAAACTAAAAGTCCCACTGAACTTGAATTAAATACATTGTACCTTCACGAGCCTCTAGGTGCCACCAATAGGTTATCATTTTACCTTTTTACGTTCCCCACCTTCCCGAGGAGAAACGTAATATTGCCGTTCCCATCACTGGTCGTAACACTTAGAACAACAAAGGAGGTCACAAGGCGCAGATTTAGTTTAAACTATCTCATATATCAATTTTGTTTTCACTATCTTATCGTCGGGCACGGGTGTAGTTGATAATAATCACAGCCCAGCCAAACCCCTCCGAAAACCGCTCGCACCCAATATATTATATTAATTAAATGCGATTCTTGCAGACAAATATTTTTTTCTATTTCCTGCACCGAAGACAAATATATTAACCACATGCCGTTTCTTGCAGACATACTCGAGGGCCTGCGCCCCGGATCCCCAAAACCAGGACACATCGAGCGTGTGGGCGGTAGCAGCCAGCAGCAGGCGGAGGAGGAGGCCAACAAGAGCGACGATCCGGTGATCACCCAGCGCTTCCTCAAGATCAATGTGCGCCACATCACGGACGGACAGGGCGTGGTGGGCGGCGTCCTTCTGGTCACGCCCAACGCCGTCATGTTCGATCCCAATGTCAGCGATCCCCTGGTCATCGAGCACGGCCCGGAGAGCTACGGCGTCATCGCGCCCATGGAGCTGGTGGTCAACGCTGCCATCTTCCACGACATCGCGCACATGCGAGTGGCCGGAGGAGCAGGACAAGGCCTCAACTCCGGATCGGGCGATGCAGAGAAGCCGGAGATCTATTATCCCAAACCAGTATTAGTCGAGGAGGACTCCAAGGAGCTGTCCGAGCAGCCACTGCTGGGCGAAGACGGCAAAGAGCGTTTGGATGGTGAGTCGTAGTTAACAAAATAAATTTAATAGAAAATATTAAATAGGTAATGTATTTATTTTTAAATGAAGTTTGATAAAAAGTGGAATTAAAAGTGTAGAAATCTAGATTTGATTTTGCCAACTAATATTCTGTTTCCACCACCAGCTGAAATTGGATCGTTGGAGATTGCCGACGATCAGGAGTCGCTTTGCTCCAGCACTGGACGCGATGGCGACGCCTTCCCTAAGGCCTTCGACCGCGAACGTGTGGAGGT